CTCCGGCAGAGACCAGCCAGGGTCCCAGTTTCCGGGGCTTTGGAACCTCGCCCTCGCTCTTCCCTTCGCTAGGGGGCGAGCCTGCGCCCACCGCCCCAGGCTTGCCTGCTCCCGGAGTTGTTAGAGGGCAGGTCCAGACCTAGCAAAACGTGCAGAGAAATGACTCAGTTGCAAGGTGGTTAGGGGCGCAGGCTGGTTTCTTCTTGACTTACTTTTAAAAACGTTCTGGATTTTGTTGGGAGCCCCCTCCTCCCCGCAGCGGTCTCCTAGCTTCCGATGGTCACCTGCGGCCCCGTTCCCTTAGAGCAAAGAACCTAGGGTCAGCGCTGAAGGGAGGACAGAGGGCTCCCCAGCACTTCCTTCTCTCTAGCCCCTAGCAGCCTAGCAGAGGAAAGGTCTCTTCCCTTGCCCAGCCCAGAATGCTTAACCGCCCCATTTATGCACTATTGTCCGGCAGGTCAGGGGTGACCTTGGGTAAACTAAACAGAATCTGTGAACCTCAGTGTTACCCTCTGAAAATGGGAATGATCAATATCCTATTGAAATTCAGGATAAAAATACAGGAAAGTCATTACTATTTAGGGCAGGTGATTCAGATAAAGATCTGTCACAAAGTTGAAGCTTAATCCTCAAACTCCCTTTTAATCTAATGAAATAAAACGTGGCTTCCTACCAGATAGCTATAGTTTGAGTTTCTGATTCGGTTTATTTTTTACCAATTGAATTACTTTAAAGATAAAGTAATTGTGCACAAAACAAGTAACTTTTAGAAAAAAGGTGTAAATAGCATTTATTAACAACGCTGAGAAATAAACCACATCTGACAATAAATAAGCATGAAGTCCGCTGGCCAGAGATTTCTTCCAACCAACAACGCAGTTCTGTCAAAGGTGCTCGGGGTGGGGGGGTCGTACGCTATTGCATATTTTTAGAAAACCGGGATAAATTATATAAATTATATATTTAAAAAGAAATCATCTATGTCATTAACTCAACGGAATAATAAATAGATAAATAACGAACAGTTGATTGCCATTAAAAAATCTGATTCTTAAATTACATTACATTACAGATATTTACATGTACAATATGCTCGGTCACAGTTAGATCCCCAGCCGAGCGTGGGACCTCTCAGGACACAAACTCAAAGGGCGGTTCATTTTCTATGTTGTTGAAAGAAGACTTGCTGAGTTTTCTGGGATCCTCTGGGGTCCACACTTTGGCTGTTCGGATGATGTTTTGCTCTTTGAGTTGTTTTTCATCAGTCCACGAGAGAGAGTGCCCCGCAAGGGGAGGGAGGCCATAATCCGGATCACTGGGGGATGGGGACCCTGGGGAGGCCAAGAGAGAAAACAGACACTGAATATGCAACCACCTTCCCAGAGCTTCCCTCGGTCCTGGACCCCTCAAGTTAGATTAGACCTTAGACTGTACTGGAACTACACCATTATCCTCCCCGTTCAGCCCCCAGCGCCCCCTCCCAGGAATCCCAGGAGCTGCAGTTCTAGGGGGAAGCTAACCTTGCCTGAGCCACTCTCAAAGTGTCCAAAAAAAAAAAAAACCTGGGAAAGTTAAGCTTGCGCTCAAGGCTGCCCGCGCGCACCCACCATCCGTCGTCTGTCCTTCTGTCGGTCTGTCAGTACAGTGGTCAGTCCGTGCCCCCGCCCCTCCGAGGCCTTCGTGCGCCCGCGCTGGTGTCCCCAGGCGAGACGCGAGCGCACTTACGCGTGCCCCGGTGGCAAATGATGACCTTCCGGGCCTGGCCGGCCGGGCTGTCCCCGCCCAGGCGCCCGCCGCTGCCTGGCCCCCCGCAGCCGCCCGCGCCGCCACCGCGCAGGGGCAGGTCCGCCTGCACCAGCTCGCTGAGGAAGTTGATGTAGCCGATAGCCAGGCGCAATGTGTCCACCTTGGAAAGGCGCTTCTCGTAGGGCAGCGTGGGGATGTGCGAGCGCAGCCCCTCGAAGGCGTCGTTGATGGACTGCATGCGCCGCCGCTCACGCACGTTGGCCGCCTGCCGCAGCTGCTGCAGCTCCGCCTCCGAGCGCACCCGCCGCCGCCGCCGCGCCGCCGCCCCGCTCAGGCCCCGCAGCCGCGCCCCGGGGGACAGCACGGCCGCCGCGGCGCACGGGTAGGCCAGGCACGAGGGCGGCGAGGCCGGCGAGAAGGCGAAGGCGCCGGGGGCCGCTCCCGCTTCGCAGCAGTAGCCGCCGCCGCCGCCGTCCTCCAGCTCCCCGGGGCTCCCCGAGGGCTGCGCCGCGAGCGCGCGCGGGGCGGCCGGGGGCGCGGGCGGGAGCAGCAGGCACGCCCCGTCGCGGTAGCAGTACTCGTGCAGCTGGTGGCTGAGGAACTCCACCTCGGCCCGCTCGTCCGCCAGCAGCTCTTCGCCGTCCTCCAGAGGGTCGCGGGAGGTCTGGTCGGTAAAGAAGTCTTCCTCGTCGAAGTAGGCGGGCGGGAAGGCGTCCAGGCCCGCCGGGAAATGCTCCAGCAGCACCGCGTCCATGCTCCTGGCCGTCGTGGGCCGGCGGGGCTGCCCCAGTCCTTTGTGCGCTCTCGGAAGCCGACTCGCGGGTGCCGCAGCCCCTCCCTCCGGGCCTTGGCTGGGAGCGGCGAGGCGGCCCCCGGGTGCCGCCCCCGGGCCTCCCTGGAGTGCCCGCGGCCGCTGCACTGGGGAGGGCTGGGACTGCCTTGCTGGAGCTGAGGGCCGGCACGCGAGGATTCTTATAACTACATCCGTAGGCGCGTGCCGGGGACCCGCTGCGCCAGCCAATCAGAGCGCGGGGCGCCGGCTGGGAGGGGGCCGGAGCTGAGGCGGCGGCCGGCGCTCTCCCAGCCCTGCGGGAGCTCGGGCCGAGGGAGGCGGCGCTGCTCCGCCCTCCAGCGCTCGGTACCTGCCCCGCCCCGCCCGGTGCAGGGGCCACCTGCGGCCTGAGGCGCCGGAGCTGACCGGGGGGCGCTCCGCTGCGGTCTGGTTTTAGGGCTGGGGCGGCGCGCACCGCGTCTCCAAGCAGCAAATAAGGGCCGAGGAGTGCGAGGCCAAGTCTGCAGGGGCCTCCCGCTCCTCCTCCGGCTCCGCGCAGGAACGGCCCACGGCCTGGGCGCCCCCACGCGCCGCGGTAAGGAGCCGCCCGCTGCCTGTCGCCACGCGCACTCTGGGCGCGCAGGGCTCGGCCTCGGGCTGGTTTGGGACTTCGTCCCCATCGCAGGGCTTGCCAAGGACTGTCACGGAGTTTGCAGAGGAGATGCTGCTGGCGTCTTGGATGTCGACCTGGTGCCACTCGCGGGGGTCCGGGACGCGGCGCGGGGGCCAGCAGAGCCCGGAATCCCCGATGCTCCGCCCGCTGCCCTTGCCCTGCCCTCGCCGGCGGGAGAAAGCACTGAGGACCGGGCGGGAGGAGCCGCCTCCGAGAGTGGCGCAGTGGGGCGCGTTTCTTCTGCGAGCAAATTGAGACCCTGGGCGTTCTGAGCAATAAACTCCGCACAAAAGGAATCAGTTGAATCGTGGGCTCCGGAGCGGTGTGGAGAGAAAGTGGTGGCCTTGAAGTTAAAGGCCAGAGTAATGGGCTACCAAGACCAGCCCTGAAGGATTCTATACCCCTCGACCTTTCTTTTAAAAATACAAAACCTGTGCACCCTGCCCCAAGACACACTTATCATAGATGGAGATGCAATATGAATTCCATGGTGTAAGGACAAGAAAGACACTCTCTAGGTCGGGGCAGATTCTGGTAAAAGCCCAAAGCCCAGCGGGCCTGTATTTTCAGAGGGCCAGAGAAGTCACCTTCCAGGGTCCCCTTTCCCTTGCTCAGACTTTGTTCTTGCGGAGATTGTTTATAGGCCATTCAGACTCTCTTTGAAACTCAAGTGCGCTAGAACAGTGCCTGCGACTGGATTTCACTGACTAATAAGACCAAAGATTTAAGACGAAGGATACAGAAGAGCACGGTCACACTTCCTAAGGCCAAGACCCTCAGACGGTTGTAACCTTGTAACCGGAGTCCTGGTTTTCTGTTAGGTTCCTTTTCGTCTTTGTCTCAATCCATGTCGCCTTCGTGGTGCGGGAATTCCTCGATCAAGGGACGTGAAAATGATCAGGTTCTGTGCGATGGAGGCGGAGCTGTGCTTCCCTGAGTCTAGATTTCTCCTTTTGCCCCAAAGGAGGCTGCAGTACCTATGATGGGGAGGGGGTGTCAAGACTGGGGGGGGGGTCTGGCCAGCTACTTTGTGTGCCCAATTCCCTTCACGTGGTTGGAATAAAACTAAATGAATCCATCTGAGGGCTTACAAGAGGGATAGATGACCAGACTTGAAAATCTTACCCCCAAAGTTGACAGCCATTTACTGAAGAGAAGACTGGTCTCAGCATACCAGAGCCTTCTTTGAGAGGCTGAGAAGCCTTCTCTGATGGGTCAAGCTGGCTGCTGAGAAATTATCTTTGCCCCGAATTGCAGGGAGAGAGACTGCCAGGAGACTAAGGAGTAAGTGTATATGAGTAGCTTGTTTGATTCGATGTGCTTTTAACAGCTTCCATAAAACTATCTCCACTATGTCTGATGAATTTGTGGAAAAGTTTCAGACATTTACATTGGATGCCTAGGTGAGCTAATGGGCAATCCGATGCTAGCCAGAAACTTTACTGTCTCGTACGCCTGGAAGTTGTGAGCATCTCCTGGTGCAGATGGACGTGAGGTGGGAGGAGGAGAAAAAGTACCTTCCTGTATCCCTTTCTTGCTGTTACAGAATTGCTAGCTCTCTGCAATCTGGTCTTGTTGGAAAGTTAAGACAAGGTCTATAGACACACACACACACACACACACACACACACACACACACACAGAGAGAGAGAGAGAGAGAGAGAGAGAGAGAGAGAGAGAGAGACAGAGACAGAGACAGAGACAGAGACAGAGACAGAAAAAGACATGATCTTTCTGGTCTCATAAAATAGTTAGACCTCTCTGCTAATAAAGGCAATTTTCTCTGGCATGCCACAGCAGTGTGGAGGGTTGCCCTCCACCACGTAAAGTAGCAGGTCCAATAAGAAGCAAACTGGCATGGAACCTTAAGATGACAGGCCAGAGCCTCTCAGGCTTATCACAACCCAGGATATCTCTGGCAGGGGTCGGGATCATGAAGAAGCAGGTGATCAAAAGATTTCAGGTAGCTCATGTCCAGGGAGGGCTGGCCCCAGAGCTGCAAGGATCTTCCTTACCTGCTAACCTGGCAGGGGGTGCTTTGCCACTCTGTCCTCAGAAGGGATGTCCCCCAACTTTATGAAGAGCCCTTGCTTCATTATACAACATCTCATCTCCCAGAAAGGGAGCAGCAGAAAGGACATTTGGTTCCCTGGTGCCAAATCCCAGCAAGACTTCAAGACTTTCCCAAGTCTTTCTACAAGGGCTCATTGCCACGTGTGGGCTTGGAACATGGTCCCACCTCTTCCTGTTTTCTGCTGCTCAGAGGCCTGGGTGGATCTCCTGGGTCCTGAGTTCCAGGAGAATTCCCAGCAAGAGCCATGGAGCTTGAATCTTGATCTTCACTCCCTCCTTTCCAATTCGGCTCCCTCTCACCTCAGCCTTTCTCCACAGCTCTGGATCTGAGTCAGTCTTCATTTGTTTCCTGTGGAACATTGCCAGTCATTTTCCATCTTCTAGGAGCATGATGGGAGCGGTCTTCCCAGGATGAATTCAAGCAAAGACCACTAATGAAGAACAAGGCCTCCAAGCTTTCAGCTCCCCTGTCCTCATGGAAGAGTCTTGTAGTGCCCAATACGTGGTTCATGCCCTTGCTGCTGGAACCTAAGCTGCAAACATTGGGATGTAGCTGTCTTGCCTGGAGTCCCACACACCTCCTTGGTGCTGCAAGCAGGACCTTGTGAATGAGACTCATGTGATTTTGCAGCTAGAAAATAGGTCCCTCTTCATCCCTCCTGTCCCAAGTGTTCCCTTGCCCACCTCATCTCAGAAACAAGTGTGGGCAAGTTGGTGGCTTGACCACTGCTGTGTCTCTTTCCCCTTTCTTTGCTGCCACCCTTAAGCCCACCTGAGGTCTTTTTCTTGTCCCCACTTGGGTGATCAGTCAGTCCATCCTGTATACTTATGCTCTCAGCAAAGGGTTTGAAAAGTAAATCAGAGTTTCTACTGAAAGGCCTCTGAGGCCCAATGAAGTTCAGTGACTTCTCTAAGGTCACACAACAGTACCAGTCCAGCCCAGCCCAGCCCAGTATTGGTTCCACTGGCAGCTGAGAGCAGATTCCAGCCCTGTTTCTGTCACTCATAACAGCTGTGTTTCTGCTCAGTTCAGACATCTCTAAAGCACGTTGGGTTACATCAGTCATTGGACCACCTCCCTAGCCTTTGCCCTTAGCACCCCTGGGTGGCTCAACTTTGAGCAGTGATGATAGCTGAGGAAAGAGTATCTCAAACACAAGCCCTCATACATTCTCTGGGTGGAGGACAGGCTCTGACCTCTGAGGTCACACTGTGCCAGCATGGGTTACATAGGCTTAATCAGCCTACTTGGGAGGCTGCAGCAGAAGATTGAGAGATTGAGCCTACCCTGAGTAACTTAGTGAGACCTTGGCTCAAAATGTGGAAGTTTATAAAGGGGCTGGGAGTGTGGCTTCGGTGTGAAGGTCCTGGGTTCAGAACCAAATATGATGGCGGTGGGGACTGTAGATTAGGAATGTGATGCTGAACTCTGTGGGTGGAACATGGCCTCACACATGCTAAGCGTGAGCACACACCACTACACTCATTGCCCCTTAAACTCCTTCACCGATACCAGACCTTCTGCTGCCCTCCACACAACCCTTGATCACTTTCTGGGTCACTTCACTCCATCCTTAATGCCATCGTGTGCCGTGCTGACCTCCTCTGGTCTTCTCTCTCACTGCTGCTCACCCGCTCACTGGCCTGTGGACTCCTTGATTTGGTTTGAAGATTTTATACTTACTCTTTCCTAATACTAATGTTAGAAAAGATAGAATTGATCAGGGCCCTTGCACAGTGATTACCACTCATCCTCGTACTTGTGTATGATTATTTGGTCTTTTCGTTCAACTAGGGACTCAATAAGGCTCCACCAAGTTCAGCTGATGCCTCCTCTGTGTGTGTGTGTGTGTGTGTGTGTGTGTGTGTGTGTGTGTGTGTGTGATATGTATCTCCTTTCAAGACCCTTTTTGTCCTATAGTTTTTTTCCTTTTTGTCCTATGTTTAAGATGATTGATTTGAGATGATTTTCCCATGAATAGCTCATCTACTCCCAAAGCAGCACTTTGAGATGAGTGGGGAAGACATTTTATCATTTCTAACTGGAAACAGATTCAGAAAAGCCAACTTGCCCACGTGACAAGCTGGCATGGTGAACTGGAGTGAAAAGAGTAGGTTTCCATCCCCCCCCCCAGGGGTGGGGAGCCTCGGCACCACGGGGGAAGGGTTCCTGTGAGACCTCTCCTACAGAGGGTCTCAACCTCAGCGTGTAGAGCTGGGCCGTGTTCCATTTGGG